TGGCAAATGGCAGTGAAAAAAATAGATGGAAACGAGAATATTGAATTAAATTCATCTGTTCTTAATTGTTTAAAACATGCATGCAAGGATCATTGGAATTTATCAGAAAATACTTTAATGTCTCCTACAATTTTATCTCAACAACATGATGTCTCTCCTAAACAATATCAAAAGGTTGCATTAGAAGTTAGAGCATCAGCTGCTGAATGGGATGATGTTGATCGATTACTTTTAACAAAGGTGGGATTTTTGTATTAAAATAAAATATAATAATGCATAATAATGTATAATGTATAATATATAAAATTTTACAATAATTCAATTTTATAATTTTATAATATAATTATTAATTTAATAATAATTATTAGGGATGGTTAGGAAGTAAAAAATTGCAAATTCATCTTCCTATTGAAGATGTGCTAAAAATATTGCATAATAATAATGCACCTTCTGAAGTACTTGAGAAATACTTAAAATATGTGGATAATATAGAGAGGCGATTGGAATTATCAAAAAATATGCATTGTTTTAGAATAGCCATTGATGTAAGTACTATTTTTAATAGGCTGAATTAATATATTAATCTTCATATATTAAGTTAAATTGATATAAAAATTTTTTTCATAGATACTTGTACAACAAGCAGATCGTACTGCATTGATGGAATATAAAACAAAATTACAACCACAATCTGAAGAATATTTTTACGCGGAAAGCGCGCTACGATTGCCATCAGTTAAATGGAAAAGCTAAATCTTGTTTTATTTATTGTACTGTATTTAAATATTTATTACACAAAAAGATAATCATACATTTTTTAATAACTAGTTTTAATTTATTCCTCCTTAAAAAATATATTTATATTATTTCATTCATATATAATTGAAATATTTCCACAAAATATCAAATACAAAAATATTAATTCTTAATGATAAAAAAATGATAAAATTCTATAAGTATATATCTAATATCATCTTGTCCAAGAAAACTGCTGTGATTGGCGAATATAAAGTGGACTTCGCAAAATGGTACACACCTTGTGAGTCAGGATTAAACATTTTATCTTCTCTGTTAACGGCTATCACGAATTCTTCGATTTTGAACATATCTCGGAGCAACGAACTTCTTTACCGGTATCTGAAATCTCCAAAGTGTGGTTGTGTTCGTTTGTTAATTCCATTGACAGACGTATGAAAATTTTGTTGCTACGCGGTCGATTCGATAGAATAGCAAGATCGAATACGTGGTAAAAATAAATGTGTTTGAGAAAAAGCACAAAAGAAAAATATTCGTGACAATTGTTCGATTTTTTGGTGAAATATTTATTGCAGTACATGTGTATCGTCCAATCATTATCGAAGAAACCGTTAGAAATTTCCGTTGTATGCGCATTTGAACGATCTAGTATACATTTGTCATTTGCGTGCGGGAACCACTCCCGATTAGTGTTACGGTGTTTCCGCGATACTCGGTAAGTTATTTTATAAATATCTTACATGTAAAAAAAATAGGATAAAGATTCCAAAATTTATTTTTATGGTTCGAATCAATTACTAATGTTATGTGTTACAAAAATATGCATACATTGAAATCGAGGCATGTGGAAGAAAGGTCCCGAATATGTCGTCGGTCAGTGTTTCGAGCCAAAAAAGTGAATGGAATGTTATTCCTTTTAAGTCTACTTCGAGATCAATCGTTCAAATGATATCAGTAATTATTTTATAATTGATTAATTTGTTATATTGAATCATTGTATTAAGTGATAATTTTTGAACTTTTGATTGTTTCTATATGTTAATATATGTTTTACATTATACGAGTTATTGATAACATAATTTACTCATACTCATACTTATTTTTTTCTAATTTTTGAATCATTATATTTTAGTTATTTAAAGGAAGAATACAGATATGGCTGTTAATGTTTATGCAACAAATGTGACAACTGAAAACTTGAGTCGACATGATATGTTGGCATGGGTAAATGACTGCCTTCAATCATCATTCACCAAGATTGAAGAATTATGTACTGGAGCTGTTTATTGTCAATTCATGGACATGCTATTCCCTGGAAGTGTGCCATTGAAGAGAGTCAAGTTCAAGACTAACCTTGAGCATGAATATATACAGAATTTTAAAATTTTACAAGGTGGTTTCAAAAAGATGAATGTAGATAAAGTAAGTGATATAAATGTATATAGAGTTTATATTATGAATTCTATATAAAATATTTTTAATTATTTAAGAATTTCTTCAAATTCAATCATTAAGATGTTTTAATATTTGTGTAACTTTAATTTTAGTCAGGAAATATAAGATTGACAATAATACTATGAAAACTAAAAACATAATTTATATTTATGAAATTTTACTTGTTAGGAAACTTAGAAAATATAATAGTTTAATGTAGATATCAATGAAACAACATTACTTATATCAAGGTAAAGTAATGAACCAAGATATACTCTGTATGATAATATATAGAATCATGTTGCTTCACTGAAAAGTGTTATACAAAGTGCAATAAGCATAAAATTATAATTAAATTTATTATTATGAAAATGGTTCAGGTAATACCAGTGGACAAATTGGTAAAAGGCCGCTTTCAAGATAATTTTGAATTTCTACAATGGTTCAAGAAATTCTTTGATGCAAATTATGATGGCCGCGAGTATGATGCTTATGAAGCACGTGGTTGTATACCATTGGGTTCTGGTGTTGATGGAACTCATAATTTATCAAATCCTCAATTGGTACCTTTACCACCTCAATCAAAACAGACGCAAATGCAGCAAAAGCATACACAACAACGTAACATTACCCCTCGCCAACAGGGTACAATAATATGATGTGTCAATTTAATAATGTTGCTTTTTGCATGTAATATATTTTTATCTATACAGTTTGAAAAATTATGTAATTAAATGCTGCATCAAAATTTATTATGATCATATGTAATTGCACTTATAAAGTATCTAATGTATATTAATAGTAGAAAGCACCATTTGCTTTTGCAATTTTAATCACATAAAAATTTATAATTATGCAAATTGAAATTATTTATAGCACAATATATTTTTATATACTATTTAATCATTTTAGAAATAAACAAATATTTATTTTTTCATTATGTTTATTTTTGCAATAGTAATTATTACATATAATTTAAATATAAACAGCATGTTGTTTATTTTCATCAACATATAAATACAATTTTTAAGATAGTTATTTACTGTAGTAGTAGAATGGTATCATGACTGTTATTTTTAACAATCTATAAATACATTCAAGTGGGGGGTAACAGATTGTCTTAGGAGAATAGAACAAGCTGGATTTTCTTTAATCTTCATTATATCAATTGTAGGAAGCACAAGCTTTGTTTATATACAATATACAATATGATATGGAATTTAGAATTTTACTAAAATTTACATTAAATTTACATTATTTTTCAATTAAATTCTTAATATACATACATATTTTATATATATATATATATATTTTAATAATTTTTATCAATTTATAATTTAATAAAAATTCCTAAAACTCTTTGTTATTTTTTTAAATTGTTTTTAACATATTTAATTCTTTTATTTTATATTTTGAATTTTTATAAAAAATTAGGTCAGTTTTTATTTTGTTCATTTAATATATTTTGTTCCACACGCTTTTTTTTTGCAATCATTTACAGATTGTTCCAATTGATAAACTGGTGAAAGGCAGGTTCCAAGACAACTTTGAGTTTTTACAATGGTTCAAGAAATTTTTCGATGCAAACTACTCCAGAACAGAACCATACGATGCACTTGCTATGCGAGGAGGAGAGCCCATGGGTTCTGGTGGAAGTAATGCACCACATGGCACTAATACAAAACGCACTACTCCACGTGATGTAAATTCGACTAAACCAGCTGCTCGTATTGGTACATTATTTCACACAACTTTTTTTCTTTTATAAAATTGAAAATTATATCTATAAACTTAAACATAACTTAAATAATTATTTTTAAAAATAATCATAAAATTAACATTGACTTTCTTTTAATTTGCAATCAACATGATCTGCTTCAAAATAACAATTATAAATAACAAGTTAGAAATTGCTATATATAGTCAAATATTTACTTATTTTTTTCTATGCAAATTTTGTTTATTTAAACTATATATATGTAAAAGAACAATAAGCTTGTGAGTCCTAGTAATATATGAAGAAAATTTCGCTTCAGGTAAGACACATACAACGGATCTTCCCGTACCTACATTAAACGACACTCGTAATTATTATTTTTTTTTTTTTATATATTTTTTATGCTCGTTTCTTTATTTCTTTAGATCTTTATAATTCAAGGGTTTAGAGAAGGATATCTAATAAATTTGTTAAAAAAAATTTCTTGTAAAATAATAACATAGGAAAGGTAGTTCAAAAGGAAAGGTAGTTTAAAATTGTAAAAAAAAATTTTATAATTTTAATTGTCCATTCTTTATTTAAATGTTTGAAAAATTATGTAGTCAATGCTTTCTTGTTTGCTAATTATAAGTGTTGTACATAATTGTTTTAATGCATGTTATTTTCTATTGTAAAATTGTCTTTATAAACTATTATGATTTTTATAATTAATATACATAATTACACAATTTGTAAAGATGTTTACACAGTATTATTTCAATATTAAAATATTTGCTATTAAGAGAATATAATTACTTGTGATTTGTAATATATGTAAATATATTAATTATATTTTATCTGTAGAATTATTAATAAAAAAATAAAATATTTAAAAATAATATATCAAATTTTGTATTTAGTTACCAAAGCTCCAGCTCGTCCACAAGCGAAAACAGGAGTTGGCAATCGCGGCGAAGCTGGAAAAGTTGAAGAACTCAGTGCACAAGTATACATAGGAAAATTAAACTATTGTTACATCAATAAAGATAATTTTATATCTTTATTGTATAATTTTTTTTACAGGTAATGGAATTAAAAATGTCTTTGGAAGGACTGGAAAAAGAAAGAGATTTCTACTTTGGAAAATTACGTGATATCGAAGTTATGTGCCAAGATTGTGATAACGGAGATCCTCCACCAATAGTCCAGAAAATATTAGAAGTCCTTTATGCGACAGAGGTATGCGAGAGAATTTCGATAAATTTACAATAGAAACTTCTATACTCTCGGGAAATAGGTTTCAAAATTCGAAATTTTTCATCTAACAATAATCCTTATAGGAATTTTTATTTAATTTTTTTTTTTTCATAGACACAAAGTTTTTATTATGTCTGTAATATCAAAACTGTATTATATTACGCTGTTATTATTATTATTATTATTATTTAAATTATTTAGGAAGGATTTGCACCACCAGAAGAATTGGAAGGAGATGGTCTCGCGCCCGATGACGAGGAAGAATATTAACTTTACATTTTGTACAATCATTATAAAAAGTACGACAGCAAATTGTCCAAGTGCGTTTCAGTTTGTTATCTATTTGTGAGCCAGTATCAGTACCCTTCGCATAATTGATAAGCTACTTTGTAAAGCTATTTAAACATTTTCGCCTTCATTTCGTTACAAACGTTCACCGAGAGTTCATTAAAAAGATTCGCACGTATAATTAGGATAGAAAGTACGTTAAATAATGCACTTGAATAACTTGTACTCTACGAAAAGTAATTATTAAGAATGAAAACAGAATTAGCAGTTCATATATTGTCATAGTTCTTTATCGTAATTAAAATAACGGTAGAGCTTTGAACATCGACAAATCTCAAAACGAAGGAAAAAATGAACAAATATTTTTGGATGCAGATTACCTGACAAGTTGTCTGAATCCAGTTTGTTATACAGTAATTTTATGTTAACTATGTTCAATAATGTGTGAGTGTTTTTTTGTTTGTAAATGCATTATTGTTTTTATCGATAAATAGATGAAATCTCGTCGGTTTGTCCTTTCGTACCTTGTAGTTCTCCGAAATTATAGATTGTATGAACGCATAATCTATAGTATAACTGTTTCAAACCTGTTCCAAGTCATTGTTAACATTTATTTGTATCGATCATAAATGTAAAACGATATATGATGTATGTCGAAAACTGATTCACGAAACGCATTAAATTGAATTTCCTAAGTTTTATACATACCTTCGATTTTTTTCTTCTTTTTTAACTTAATGGAACAATACATGCATTATGTCATTATAATTATTGCAATTTGAAATTTAAACGAAACAATATGAAAATATAAATAAAATATAAATAATCATCGAGAAATAATATGATTACGAATAAATGAAACGACAATGATATTCATTTCTGTTTCCACTGTATTTTGGAGATGCGAAAAATTGTTCGATTTGAACATTGGATTTTGAATCAATGCACCTGATTCATTTTTGCAAAGATAGTAATTTATTTCACGCGAGTATATACGCGAACATTTTCGTATCTCCATGATCCGTCTTTCAGAACGAGAATGGCCTTAAAAAGCAGCGATAAACTTGAGATTACAGAAGAAATACTCGAATTATTTAGAGAGCAAACGCAAAGTGTATCTCTCAAAGTAATACGACATAATTGATAAAAAATTACGTTGCAAGCGCAAAGAAACGCTTAGCTTTTGAACAGACAACAAGTGAAAACAAGTAAAAAAATAAATGAATAAACAAATAGATAAAAATGAAGAAAAACTAACGAAGAAAATTTATAAAATTGTATGATCGAAGTATGAATGAGAGATAACGAGCGAAAGAATTAAAAATCAAGCAAGCAAAAGTAAGCAAAATTATACATATATTATTTGCTAAATTTGCGATATAGCTTGGCACGAGTGTATTTAAAAAAAAACATAGAATTTAAATTAAAAGATACAGGAACAATTTTATGTATTTGATATTTTAAATTTTCTCTTAAGGATTAATCATAGATAAGCAATGCGTCGATTATTATTGTTATTATTATTTCCATTGTATGAAATGTAATGCTCGTATTAATTATATGCAACGATTTTGAAAAAGGTACACGATGCATTTTAACTTGCGCTACGTTCATTGCTCTATGTGTGCGTTTACAGCGATCCATCGCGAGAATGTGCTTCAAAAATTTGAAATTTTTAATGATGAGGTAATAAATGTTTAATAGGATTCAATATTGCATGACTTTTTTTTTTCTTTTTTATTTTTCAATATTCCGATTGTATGTATGACTTTTTATGAAATTTTCAGATATTATTATTATTAAGAGCAAAAAAAATTGTTTATTACATAATAAGTATCGTATATTTTTCTAAAAATTTTTGATCATCACATATATTGAGAATACATTTGAGTCAATTTGTGATGTTTCAAATTTTGTATTATTATATTATAATATGTATAGATTTATGTGTTTTTAATTTATTGCAATTAACTGTTTATTCATGTTACATTTCAGTTAAAGATTTACCATTTTTTGCTACGATTTTATAAGGCTGATTTTAACGTTTATAATATTGATCTTTAAAGAAATATAAAGAAATGAGAATATTTTGTAAAGTGAATAAAGAATCCATGTAAAAGAAATATAAATACGATGTAAAAAAACTTTTTTTTTAAAAAAAAATTCAACAAAAAACACTGAGATAATTTTTTATCGTTATCTTTGGATTTTCTTGAATATCACCGTGAAAAATGAAAATTCGTAGGTATTAATAACAGAATTATAATAAATAAAATAAAAAAGATATTAATTACTCTTTTCCCTCAGGTATCCTTCATTAATGATTACAATTAAGAGTTTTCACGTATCACATTTTAAAATTACACATATATAAATATATAATTTGACGAAACGAGTTCATTCAGAAAGTTATCAATTCAAGAGATTACTTCTGTATTCCTATCTTTACTTTCTTCGATATATATTTTAATATTAATTCGATTAAAAGAATTTCTTGATAAATTGAAAAGTACCATCTATAACAGAAATGTATGTACAAATGAATTCGTCTCATAAAATTTTCATTAAACTCTTTTTCCTTTTCCAGATGCTCTCACATTTCCAATTTAAAACGAATCATCATACATCCTTCTGTTCAAGAACAATTCTAACCACGCATCCATAAAATCCTTTTCCAATCACAAACTCATTATTAAGAAAATTCATACGCGATCTTCAATCTCTTCCAACATCCATCCCAACCGTTCCTCAACCTACACACGGATCAACCACCATCGTTTCGTCCATTCACATTGCATCAGAACACCAACATCGGTACCGAAACAACCGAGCTTCGTTCATTTCGTGCAAATCCACGAAAACGGCGGAAACAGGCGAATTCTTTGGCCTGAGCGTGCGTGATCACGAAGAAGATACGACTCGGGCCAAAGGTTCCGGCGGATGACGATCCTCCATCGTGAATAGAGTTCCAGTGGATCGTCGTCCGCGGTGGATCGTGCGTGGATCGCGACCGTTTCTCCTCGCGTGAAAAGAGGAAGGAAGATCGGCCATAAGGAGGCGGGTGACGTGGAAAGGGGTGAAGGAAGAGCTCCTGTGGAGGAATCATCCGGCGTTCGATCGCCGCCATTTTTGAAGCAGGTAAGATTCGCTACAGTATACATATATATATACTTTTGTTGGAAACTCGATAAGTTTTGCTTGATTTGTCGTTCTGTTCGATTTTCTCGCGGTTACGGCAGGAAGTGAGAACCTTGAGGTTACGTAAGAACGGTTTTTTATGAAAATGATCTGCGGTCATCTTGTTGGTGATCCAAGTCGATGGCGTGCGCCAGTCGCGAGTCGATCGCCTTTCAACCCTCGTTTGCGAGGATGATGGATTGAAGTGACTTTGATCGAATGGGATTATAAAGTTCGATATTAATGTTGATTAATAGATATGTTTATCGTTGAGGTAAAATTTATTTTGAACCTTTTGACGAGATTGGAAGAATAATTTTTTTCTTTTTTAATAATGACAATTTAATGTATTTATTAAGTTTTGAACTTGATTAGGATCCAGAGTAAAGGATAAGTTTTATCTTACGTTTTGACGAAAATAATCGTAGCTATTTATCTTTTTTCCTTTTTCTTTATTTTTTAATTTTAAGAATTAGTTAAGAATGATTTCATATTGAATTGTTGTTTAATTCATTTTTTTATTCGATACTGTCTAATTTCTCGTGTGGATAAAAATTGCTTTAAGAATTCGAGAAATTACTCGATTCTAATCGTGTTTTTCTTCTTTTTTTATCGTTTCTTGTTACAAAAATTAATCGTATTACCAAATTTGATGTTGATCGTTTCTAACGACAAAGAGATTTTTAAATAAATTTTTTTCATCTTTTTCATGCCAACATTTAAAATAATTGAAGATAATATTTTTACAATATCGGATTTTAATAATAATCAATGTAAATGATTCTTTTATATGATTCAAATGATTATATCAATAAATGATTTATGTATTTCATTTTTCAAATAGAGAGAATTTCGAATTCGTATGATTCGTTTCGATTTGGTAACCGTTTAATGTATTCTGTCCTCGACGACCTAAACAACAGAAAAACGGGATTCTGAGAGGCTTCCTTGTGTAGTCGCTTGGCGAACAGCGTTGATGGAAGTTACTTTGCCTCATGATTTATCGCTTGGTGAGTTTCCTTACCATTTTCACATATATGTTTTAAATTTAATCGTTAACTATTTGTCGATCTATAAATAGTATTTATATGTAAAGAAAATATGAAAAATTTCGAAGAGATAACGTCGAATTTTTTTTTTTTTTTGATAGTCTATAAAATTATTATTCAAACGAAAGATAAATAAGATAAATATGTTCTTATGAATTTTGAAACGTCATAAATGAAATAATTTTTAAATAACTATTTTCTCTAGTAGTTAGAAATAATAAATTAATAAATTTTGAATTACAAGATCGAAAGAATCAAATTTATCTGTGATTGAACTATTGTTTATGTTTATATTTATGTTTATCATTTAGATTTACATACCCCTAATTGCTTTAATTATATTATTATTATTATTATTAGTAAATAATTGCTTTGTATTTTATCTTTCCATTAAATATGTTTCTAGAATTAATAGGAAAGCAATGAATTACAAAAACGATAACTATATAATGGTAAAATAATAATTTTTATCAATTAATAATAGATTTTCGTTTCAATAATAAATACAAACTATGAAAAATAATAAATATTGTGTAGAATATTGTCCTACAATGTAATTAATATATAACGTAATTTATATATTGGTTTCTTATAAAACGTATGTAGACTTAAAGTTTATACAAAAAAAAAAAAAAAAATACATTATACAGTAATATAAAAGGTCATATATACATATCTATAATGTTTAATATAATATGTGCATGTATTATAAATATTGAAATTTCTATAAAGTTCATCGGATAATAAATTTTTAATTGAAAAAAGAAATGAAGAAATCAATGGATCTCTATGTAAATTGGATAGATTATGCATTATTACCATAATCACTAAAATATTCAATTTAATAACATAAAAAAATTCTCAAAATTCTTTTTTTTTCAATTGTAAGAATCAATAATTGAATAATAATGCACACACAAATTAATGATTAATTAAATAAAAAAATTAATAGTGTGGATTGATAATGAAAATAATAAGAATTATTTAACAATAATAATAATAATAATAATGGAGTAATAAAAAAATAATAAAATTATATAACAATATCCAAGCACGATATCGAATATCGTATATTTCCTCTTTCGAAGCTCTCATTTTTCTGCCTTTTTTTCTTAATAATCCGAAGAAATAATCGTTTGCCTACCCTCGTAACTCTCGTTATCGAATTATTTTTTTCATTACATTTTTCTGAACATTTTTATTTCACGTTCTCGTTATGGGAATTTCGTCGTACAATGGCGGATAGCAGCAGGTCATGCCTTCTCGATAGCAAAATTATCGTTTCCTTTATTGTTTATTTATTGAGGCTTCGATGAGAAAAATTTCACATAGCCATAATAATGTATCAGTATCGAAAAATTCCAACAGAAAGCAAATCATATTGGATCATTAAGAAAAAAAACTAATCTCTATTCCAAGATTATCCCCTTGATTTTATATAATCATGAAATATATTTTTGTTTATATAAATTTTCGATTTGCAATTTTATTTTCAGTCAATTTTCATGTTAAATCTTAGGTTTTATTATAATTATTGAAAGGAATTTAAAGCATTTATTCAATATTTTTCATTTCTTCGTTACTATTTCTTCTATTTAAGTTTCATAATTTTATAAAATTTGGAAAAATTATAATAAAATGTATTTATTAGGATTAAAAGTTTATTAGTTATAATCTTTTATAATTTTTTATAATATCACCGTGTGATAATTATTAGATCTTAGTTTTCAAATTAACCTTGAGTAGTAAGTAAAATTAGAAATTAAATCATAGAAAGAAAATAATAATTAAGATTAAATATTAACATTAAGTGTTAATCTCAATATTTCTATTTAAAATAGTTTATAATTATTTTAAAAAATTATTCATTGAAGTTTAATGAATCATTGTTAAAAAAAAAAAGAATACTTCTAAGAATTTTCAGGAAAATCTAATATTTACTTGAAAATTATATATACTTGAATATTATACATACAATAATATAGACCTAACTCATTACTTCTATTATATTATATTTGTAATACTTGTATTGTATTATATTTTGACATTTCAGTTGCCCTCTTCGATCTAAATTCTAAATAAACATATTTAAATTATAACAAAAGAAATAACAATATCGGTATTATGTCAGTTAACGAATTAATATTTTTAATATTTATATTTTTTGGATGGATTTCATTATAAATTTTCTATTATAAAAACGTCGTGAATTTTCGCGACGAAAAATAAATTAGATTAAAATCTATTCTATTACCAAGCGAAATGACAAAGGATTCCCTTTTATTTCTCACCACGAGAATATCGAATCTTCCAAAAATTTTGTCCCCTAAAAAGCTTTCCTTTTACAAAAAAGGAGAAAAATTCTACGATAAAAATAAATTATATTAAAATTTGCTTTATTATTGAACAAATGACAAAGGATTTTCAACAAAGTCAATCGAATTTCCCGGAAAACTTTTTCGTTATTAAACAGGATCGTAAAAGAAAGAGGAAAAATAAATTATATTAAAATCTATTTCATTACTGAATAAACGACAAAGGGTTGGTTTTTCTTTTTTTTTTAATTTCTCACTACGAAATATCGAATCTTCCAACAGGCACACTCATGATTGCCTGTGAGCTCTTTTCGCGATAATGTGAGGTCATGCCTTCCAGATAGCGAATTATCATCGTTGCATTTCTTATTGTTTATTTATTACCGTCTCATTATGGTTTAATGAAAGAGGATTTCATCCACGTGAACCCGTCCACACTTCCAGAAACAAAGTCGAAAATGTTATTAGTGATTCCGTGTTATGGGAAAATATGTCTCCGTTGCGAAAGTTTAAGGCAAAAGTATAAATCGTTCTATTAATTCTTTCGCAATCTTGCTACACAACGAGATCTATATTTTGCAGACTCTGTTTAACAAAATGTTAACATCGTGTTTTTTTAATGGCGCCTCGTTCATTAAGTGGCGATAATTTCGAGATAACTTGAAAATTGTGTGTTTATTGTGCTTTCAAATGATCGAATTATTGTGAATATTTCGAAATTATCGAGTTATTTGAACAAGAGTGGAATTGAAAATGTATAATTTACGACTTATTTCTTTGTCCATGATAATTATTTGATCACTTGCTATATTTTATTTTGCACATGGATAGATACGTATTTGTCGAATGCGTGCATATATGCATAATAAGATACAATATAGGATATGCAGAGAAAAGATTTACTGAAAATAAAAAAAAAAAAAAAAAAAAGATGTAAAACTAAAAGGCACAAAATGAAAGATATAAGATAATGTATGAGTTAAGAAGTTAAAAATAATATATCGTGGCTCTAAAATTAATAGATATTCATTGCATTGGAGGAATAAATTAAAAAAAATTGTAGTTTCCAAGAGATTTAGAGAATGAGTCAAATGTCAAATAATTATTAAAAGAAAAGAAATGCTACGTGTGTTTGATGAAGTAAATTTTTACTAATTGTTTAACATTCCTCCGCATAAATTAACATAGTAGTGTTGGCAATGAGTGTTTGACATTGTGTATAACATGTTAGATAAGAACATTGTGCAAGTCATTTTATACAATGAAAACTGAAAATTTCTACGCTTCGATTCTTCTTTTAAAATTAAGATTTAAAATTTTATCCAATAACGAATTTTATACGATTTTCAGATCAAATTTAGCCATGGAGAATGAAAGAAATTCGGTAGCTGTAAGTAATGGACATCATTATATGTTCGATACATTTAAACAGAAAGAAGTGAAAAAAAAAAACGAAGAAAATAATTTAATTCCTTATTTCCTGCAGACAACATCCAGGAGAGAATCAGAAGGAATTACAGGATGGATAGAATCCGTGATTATGACCGTGTCGCAGACTTCCATAGGCCAGGCATTGTTCAAATTTATCGACTCGTTTTTGTGGGTCGTGGAAAAATCAACTCAATGGAGCTTACCGGCTCATGAAATCGCGGCTGGTACGTTTGAACAATTTTTAAAAATTATTTCACTCGTTAATAATCTAATAACAATAAATCACGAAATCATTTGAATTAATTTTTAACCATTTGATTAAAAATTCGAAGATTAATTCGTTTGATTTAAATTTAATTTAATTTGGATTTTTTGATGGTGAATAACAGAGGAGAATGGTAAAGTATTTGGGAGAATAGAGCTCGTGAGACCTTTGCCATGGCTTCTCTTTCTGCCAGGATTAGTGATACTTCGAATCATCAGATGTGGGCTCAACGTGGGTGCTTTTATTTTGGGCTATCCACGAATACGACCAAGTGGAATGGTAAGCTACGTTATTTCTTATATATCAATATCGCGATATCGATTAAAATATTTTAATTAAATCACAAACTTTTTAATAATGAATCTTTTAGATTCAACGATAGATTATTACAAAGTGTTTTAAATTTTATTTTTTATTTTATCAAAAAATATTATATTTTGATTCTATTTTTGTATATATGTATATATGTTGTACGAATGGTGTCGAAAGTAAAAGATTTGTTTAAATAAAATTTGATATATATGTATATACATAAAAAAAAAAAATATCTGTTCCAGGTAAAATTCGTGCAAAAAAACTCGCAGACGATTAAGAGCGATAAACGTAAAAGCAGTAAAAGCGAGGCGCAGAATAACATGTGCCAAGGTAAATCGACTATTTGTAATTCTAATTGCATGTATTTTTATATATCTCTTTATTAATATTTGTTTTTCCCATGTCTCACGTAGTATTTGCAAAGAATTTTATATACACGTATTTTAAAAAATTGTATTCCTTGTAACTACTTATTATTATAAATAATTATTATTGAAATTAGCATTAGGTAAATTTTTATTTTAATCGCATATTTGCATGCTTTTTAACAGTGCTGCTATACTCTTTCGTTGAGTTGTGTTGCGATTCAACGATCTTCAATTCACTTGAAATTCATTAAAATGAAATTTAATCGAATCAATCAATTAATGTTCCATTTAAAATTCATACCAGACAGCGAATCAATCTGTCGGATTGGCAAAAAAAGGAAGAGAAAAGAAGGTAATTTTTTAAAGCGCAGAAAATAAAGAAAATTTATTCATAACAAATAAAATGTATAACAAAAAATTTTAAATTAATTTCTTTTCACAATATAAAAATATAACAGTCGAGACTAATTAAAATAATGAAGAAGAATGAAGAATGCCTTAATCCCGGGTTCTATTGTTATCTAATGCATGATATTTAATAATTTTCAAGTATTTTAAAGATTTAATAATCGATATTATTCACACGTAGAGCTCAATGAAAGAGTAGACGCTTTTTTTCAACTCGGTTAGCCTTTAGACACATAATTAAAATTAGCACGATAATAGTCTCGGTGATGGATATAGGACAAGAGGTTGACGATGATCGAGGCCAAGAAGGCTCTGATCAGATCCATCAGATTGACTCTGTCGACTTTGTCTTGTTTGGATACGTCTAAATCATCCCCCTCGCCACCCCCGATGAAAATTCGTGTAGGTCAAATGGATTTCGACACGGTAATTCTTTTTAATAAACTATTTCTACGATTTATTTTTAATAAGGAATCTAATTAAGGATTCTTAACATTTCAATTTTTTTTCTATTCGTAATTAATCCGTTCCATCTATTTATTAGTTATTTATTAGTATATTTTCAATTGCAATTAAATAGTCATTTGAAGATTATTAATCATGTGTACAATCATTCCTGTTTGTTTTCAATTATCCAAGCAATTCATTTTAATGTAATTCTTCATAATTGTGTGCGTAAAGAAAAAAAAAAAAACGTACAACTCAAATGTATGTAATTTTCAATGTTTCTATTAACACAAATTAACGATACTTTAACAATTATCATTGTCAATTATTATTATTCATATTGAATGAAATTTACTTACTCAAGTTTTAAATGAAATCGCAGATAGCAACACCAGAAGAGAAGTCGACCACGGAATCTGTCGGCAGCCCTGTACTCCACGAAATGAAACGCAAATTCTCCCAGATATTAGACGATGAAAGTTCCGATGGCTCGGATAACGAGACACTTCGTACAAAACTCGAGAGACTAGCAATGGAGAACAGCACGGACGATTCTGATTTCAACGTGAGTAATATTATAAGATTAATTTTTAAAATTCAAAATTATAGACTCGTGCTTGCATCTTTCTCTCTGAAACGTAAGTTTGTCATCAAAGTTGAAGGAAAATATTGAATTGAGTACTCGGGCGTGAGAATTTTCTTTCTTCAAAGAAAATATGCGATTCGACGATTTTTCCAGATTGCCGAATGTTCAATAGAATCGAGCACAGGGAGCAGCGAAAACGATCCGGACAAGGAGATATCATTTAACGAGACGGCCGAGATCCAGAGGGAAGCTTGCAAATTCTTGAAGGATGATACGTACCAGCTAATGTCTCTGGTAAAATTAATATACGTAATAATCATGTTTTCGTTATGTCTTTCGTGTTTAATGTGGATATGAAATGTCTGTGAAGAATTTTAAAAATTGACTCCGATTGCTCTAATTCTTTTTTT